CCACCAGTCAGTGTGGGGGGCAAAGCTGTGGTAGCACAGGACCTGGGCCAGCTCCAGGAGCCCCAGAGCCCTCGGGAGGAGCCCCCCGGGGTCCTCGGGGCAGAGCTCCAGGAGGTCACACAGGACGTTGTAACGCTCCGGCCCCGTGTCCCACTTCAGGCACTTGTAAGCCTGGAGCTCGGCCAGCAGGAGGGACACCAGGGTGGCCCTGTCTAGGGAATGGCCTTCCAGGGAGTCCCTGAGGGTCCTGGGGGAAGAAATCCCATTGTTTTCATGGATTCATGGAGTGGGTTGGGTTGGGAGGGACATTAAAGCTCATCCCATCCCATCCTCTGCCTTGGGAACTTCCACTATCCCAGGCAGCTCCAGCCTGGCCTGGGACACTGCCAGGGATGGGGCATCCTCTGGGAAATCCATTGCAGGGCCTCACCACACTCCCAGCAGCTCCCAGTCCCCACCACAGTCCCTCCCAGCAGCTCCCAGTCCCCACCACAGTCCCTCCCAGCACCCCAGTTCCCCCTCACCGCAGCCGCAGCTCCTCCCGGCCCTGTTTGGCCGCCTCCGATTTGATCCTGGCCCAGAGTCCCACGGGCTCGTGCAGGAGCCCCCCGGGCTGGGCCCTCAGGACCCCCCCAGGCTGGGCCCTCAGGACCCCCCCAGGCTGGGCCAGGGCCAGGAGCCACGTGGTCACTGAGCCCAGAGCCTGCTCCGGCCGCCCCAGGCGCTTCCAGCTCTCCACCTGCATCCGGAAACACTTGTGGAGCTGTGGGAGGACAGGGAGAGAATAGGTGTGTGGAGAGGGAATTCCAGGGGTTCTGTATCCCCCTCAACCTGCCCTGGGCCAAGGGAAGGGCTGGGAGGTGGGAACTGGGATTGTTCCAGGAGGAAAACCCGGTCCCATCCTCTCCAGTCCTCCCGTCACCGGTAGGAATCCCAGTATCATCCCTGTATCCCATCTCCACCTGGGAGAAGGGAACCTGGGAATTGGGGCTGTTCCAGAGGCTAAGCCATTCCTATCCTCTCAGTTCCTCCCCTCACCGGGATAATCTCATGTCTCCCTTCCCACCCTGGAACAAGGGAAGGACTGGGCTTTGGGGTTATTCCAGGAGGAAAAGCTGGTCCCATCCTCTCTCCCTTCACTGAGACCATCCTGTCCCACCCAGGACAAGGGAATTGCTCGGAGTTGGGAATAGGGGCTATTCCGGGACCAAACCCCTCCACTGTCCCCCTCCCCATTCCCAGCCCCCCGTACCCTCTCTGGGGGGGTGTCAGGGCAGCCGTAGCCCCCCAGTTCCCCCACCCCCCTGCAGAAGGGCTCGCAGATGGTTCCAGCCTCTTCCAGAAAGTTCCGGCTGTGGAAGGCGAAGCCCAACTTGAAGGTGCACGAGGCTGTGGGGAGAGGGACCCCCAAAGTCACTGAGAGAACCCCCTCCCCACCCACAAGGGGACTGAGACCTCCCAGCTGTGCAGAGACAGCCCCCCAGGACAGGGACAAGGGCTCCCCCTTGGTGGCACTGACCGGTGACATCGAGGAACTTGGCCCTGTCGGTCTCGGGGAGCCCCCCCAGAGCCTCCACCATCCAGGTCACGCTCCGGGTGCAGCTCCTGCTCACCTGGGCCAGCCCCAGCCACCCTGAGGGCTGAAGGGACAGGGGGGTCAGCAAAGGGGTCACCTCCACAGCCCCCAAAGAACCACCCCCAGGGCACCTTGAGCCCCCCCTTCCAACCCCACCAAGGAGGGGAGAAGCTTCCAGAACCCTCTCAGGGCACCTCCAGCCCCCTCTTCCAACCCCAAGGTGCTTCCAGCACCCCAAGGGTCTTATCCTGAGCACCCCAAACTCCCCTTTCCAACCCCACCAACAAAGGGAGAAGATCCCAGCACTCCCAGAACCCCCTCAGGGCCACTGAAGCCCCCTTTCTGACCGCAAGGGTCCTGGGGGTCCATCCTGGGAGTACCTGGGAGCCCTGGAAGGTGTCGTGGATGGTGTTGGAGAAGAGTTGGAGGCTCCGGAACAGGAGCTGCTTCACCGTCACCTGCTGCTTGAGGGCATCGGGGGGCACCTGGGGGGGGGAAAGAAGGGTTCAGGGAGGGCAGGAGCTCCAGGAGCTGGGAATGGGGACAGGCATGGACCTGGGAATGGGAAAAATGGGGATCAGGAGCTGCAAGATCTCTGGGAGCTGCTGGGATGGACCTGGGAAGGGCAGGGAAGGAGTGAAGTGGGATTTGGGGGTTCAGGAGCTCCTGGAGCTGCTCCTGGTGACACGAACACCGGAGAGGAACACAGAGGGTTCACACAAAGTGAACCCCAACCCCAAAATAGGGTTACACCCCCCCACAGCTGCCCCCAGACCCGCTCCCAGCCCCCCCAGTCCCTCACCCTGCTGAGCAGCCGCTGCAGGGCCCAGCAATGCCCCTCGGTGAAGGCACAGAGCCCGGGCAGGTCCTCGAGGCCGAAGGGCAGCTCCCGACTCCTCCTCGTCACCTCCCCGAGCTGGGCCGTCACAAACCGGGCCCCCTCCAGCAGCACCCTGAGGGTCCTCTCTGAGCCCTCCCCCCTCAGCGCTGCAGCTGCCTGGGACAGCAGGGGCCCTGGGGGGGACCTCCCCTTTCCCAGCTGGATCCCGGCCTCCAGCAGCGCCAGGGGGGCCCCCAAATCCTCCCTGGAGCGCCCCAGGAATGCCTTGGCCTCCTCCAGGGCCTCCAGGGCCTCGTGGAACCTGCCAGCCCTGCAGAGGTGCCTGGAGCACTCCAGGGTGAGCTCCAGGAAGCACAGCGAGTGTTGGATCCCGGGAGGATTTGGGGCTTCCTCCCGGAGAGTCTCCAGGAGGAATTCCCGGAGCTGCCGGGCCAGGAACACAGGGCAGGGAGCCCTCTCGGCCTCATAGAGGGCAGAGGCTGCTGCTGCCTTTTGGGCTGTCTGGGAGGTGAAGAAGGGGGGCTGCAGAGGGGGCAGAGACCCCCCGTCCTGCTCCAGTAGCAGCAGGAAGCGCAGGGCACGGATCTGGGCAGAAAACAGGGATCTTCCCTCTTCCCGAGGCCGGTCAGGCCCTGCCAGGGCCGCTGCCCCTTTCCAGAGGACACAGAAGGTGTTGTAGGTGACAGTGGTGAAGTCTTTGGGGGGGTCCTGGAGGGGGGTGTAGGTTCGCAGTCGCTCCCGCAGCAGCTCAGCCGCAGCCCAGCAGGAATTCCCAGTCCTCCAGCGGGAATTCACGGCGTTCCTGAGCAAGTGGAAGAGGATCTTCTCCAAGTACAGGTCCGGGGGGTTCGGGACCACGCTGAGGTAGCCCCTGGCGGCCTCCTGGGCCAGGGCCATGAGGGGGGGTCCAAAGGAGGGGGGACCCTCCCGGCCCAGCTGCTCCACACACGATCGGAGCACACGGTCACACGTCTGGAGCCGCTGCTGCCGGGATGGGGGGGGCGCTCCCGGGGGGATCTGCAGGGATTCCTGAGGGGAGACAGGGACTCAGACCCCTGGATGAGGGAGTCAAGATCCCTAGAACCCAGCCCTGAGCCCCCCGAGGGTCATTTCCTGGGGGAAAGAGCGAGTCAGACCCCCAGTCCCCAGCCCAGAGCCAGTCAGGAGGTCTGCCAGAGGGATCCAGAGCCCCTCTGAATGTCCTTTTCTGGGGAAATGAGGGAGTCAGACCCCCCAAACCCAGCCCAGAGCCTCCTGAGGTTCCCCGTGAGAGTCCCCCAGCTCACCCACAGCTGGTGGGTCCCAGTGAGATCCAGAAGGTTTCCTGGGGATGAGTTAAGACCCCATACCCCAGCTCAGAGACACCCCCCCCAAGAGTCCCCCAGCAGGATTCAGAGGTTTTCCTAGGAAAAAAAGGGACCCAGCCTCCAGCCCAGAGCCCCCTCCCCAGGGAGGGACCTCCAGCTCACCCTCAGCTTCTCCAGCCTCTCCTCGATGTTGTCCCCCTTCTCCTTCCCATCCATCCTGGGGTGTTTCCAAGGGGCTTCCAAAGTGATGTGGGGCTGGGGGAGGCAGGGGAAGGTGTGGGACCCCCACAGCCGCCCCCGAGCTCACAAACCCCCAAAACTCACAGCCCCCTCCCAGTCCCCACATCCTCAGGCCCCCAGCCCCAATATCAGGCCCCCTAATTTCCCCTTCAGGCCCTCCCAAACTCCTTTCAAATCCCTCCCATTTTTGCAGCCCCTCAGGCCTTCCTCCCGCCCCCTTTTGCCCCTTCCCACTCACAGCCCCCCTCCTGAGGACCCCCGGGACCCTCAGCCCTCTGAGGGGGTCCCAGGAACTCCGATCTCCCCTCAAGATAACCCAACCCCCCGCACCCCGCTGCCTTCAGGCCTTTTCCCCCCTCTCTTTGCTCCCTGGTTCCTCCTCACCAACCCCCTCCCCCCAGCCACCCTCCCCGGCCCCCCCGGCCCCCCCGGCCCCCCCGATCTCCCCCCCAGGACCCCCCCCCGATCTCCCCCCAGGACCCCCCAAACCTCCGCTCACCTTCCGTGGCCGCTCCTCTTCGGCCGCCAGGGGGCACCTCGCGCCGCGCGCGCGTTCAAATCTCCGCGACGGCCAATCAGCGCTCGGCCCCGCCCCCGGCCCCGCCCTCCGCGTGGGGCATCACGGGAGCTGTGGTTTTTATGCCAATAGCGAGGCACGGGTGCGCACGCGCATAGAGGGGAGGGCGGTGGGAACGGAGGGGGTCAGTGGTGTGAGGGGCGTGGTCACAGCAAAGGAGGTGTGGTCATTGTGATGGGGCGTGGTCACCGTAAAGGGGTGTCCCCAGGTGTCCCCCTGTGTCCCGCAGAGCCCCCTGGGGTTCCCCTCTGTTTCCAGGTGTCCCCAGGTGTCCCCTCTATTCTCCGTGTCCCCAGGTGTCCTCCCTGCCCCCGGCTATCCCTCTGTCTCCAGCTGTCCTCAGGTGTCCCCATGTGTCCCCTGGACTCCCCTGGGGGTCCCCCCCTTTCCTCAGGTATCCCCAGGTGTCCCCTCTGTCCCCAGACACTCCCTCCCCCTCTCCAAATCAGCAGCCGCAGCTCCAAACCCAGAGCGTTTTATTGGGGCGGGGGGGGGGGAGACCACACGCGGGGCCCGGGGGTGGCCCGGGGGTGTCCCAGGGGTGGGATGACAACACTGGGACCCCCTTCCCCCCTCAAGAGTGGCGGCATGCGGGGGGGTGGCGGTTTGGGGGTATTTTCGGGGAGTTATGATGCTTTTTACAGGTGGGCGCTGCGGGGGGTGGGGCGGCATGACCCCATCCCAGCTCCCTGAGCCCCCTCCCCACGTCACGAGGCGAGGTCAGGCAGGGTAGATGATGAAGCCGGAGAAGGTGCTGGACTTGGGGGTATTTTTGGGGTGGTTTTGGGGTAGTTTTATGGGGTTTATGAGGGGGGGTGCGGGTCCTGGGGCGGGGACAGCAGCAGGGGGCAGGACCCCCGTCCCAGCATCCCGAGCCCCCTCCCCGTCCCGGGGGGTCAGTCGGGGTAGATGATGAAGCCGGAGAAGGTGCTGTACTTGTTGGTGTTGCCCCCGTGCACTTTGCCCCCGTCGAGCTTCACGAACACCTCGTCGCCCACGTCCAGGTGCAGGATGACGCTGTTACTCGCGTAGTCGTAGTTCTGGTCCGCGTCCTGCGCGATGGCGCTGGCACGGACCTTGGGGGGGGGCACGGGGGTCAGGGACCACCCCCCATCCACGAGGGAACGGGGGATGAGGTGCTCGGGACCCCCGCGGGGCGCTCAAGGTCACGGTGTCCGACGAGGCAGAGCCGATGTCCCCCCGGGCCACGAGTGTAACCGGGGGGGACGGGGGAGACACCTGGGAACACCTGGGTAGAGCCCCTCCCGCACCACCGGAATCCCACAGGATAACAGGGGCACCCCGGGGGTCCCACAGGGTGATAGGGAGACCCCCCCCACCCAGGGCAGGCTCCAAGGACGGTGACCAGGAGCACGGGACCCTCCCAGGCTCCTGTGCAGCCCCTCCTCGGCCCAGGGATGCCCGGGGGGACATGGGGACAGCTCGGTTTGGGGGGGCGTCCTGGGGGGACATCGACCACCTTGGATCGATCCTTGTTTTTCCCGGAATAAAAGGATGGGAAGAGTCCTGGGGTGAGGCCATTCGGGAGCAAACAAAGGGAGTGGCCAGGGGGCACAGCCCACCGACCCCCCCTGTGCTGGGGGTGTTCCGGTGACCCCCTACAGCCCCCCCATGTCCCACAAGTTCCAAGCCCAGCATTCCCAGGGGATTGTGGCCCCCTGGCCCCCGTGGCAGGACTCCCAGGAATGAGGAGGTTGTGACCCCAAGGCTGAGGGGGGGATGGGGATGGAGGGGGTGTCACCCCCCCCCGGTACCAGAGGGGGAACAGGGTGGGAGCAGATGGGGGGGGGAGAGGGTGGGAACTGGGGGGGTTGGATGGAGAAAATGGGATGTGGGACTTGGGATGGGGAATTGGGAATTGGGGTGGGATTAGATGAGGGAAATGGGATGGAGGAAATGGGATGAGGATTTTGGGGGTGGGAGGAACTGGGGATGGGGAATCGGGAATGCGGGGGAAAGGATAGATGTTGGGGGAGAAGTGGATGGTGGAAAGGGGATGTGGGAAGGGGGGAGGAACTGGAGGTGGGGAATCAGGAGTGGGAGAAAATCGAGATGGGAACTGGGGGGTATTGGATGGGGGAATGTGGGATCTGGGGGGGGGAGGAACTGGGAATGGGGAATTGGGAGTGAGAGGAAGAGGGAATTGGGGAGAATTGGATGGAGAAAATGGGGCGTGAGGATTTGAGGGGCAGCAGAACTGGGGATGGGGAATCAGGGAGGGGGGAAGCAGGATAGGAACTGGGGGTGGGATTGCATGGGGGAAATGGAATGTGGGGACTTGGGAGGGAGGAACCAGGGATGGGGAATTGGGAATGGGGGGAGTGTATGGGAATTGGATGGGGGAAATGGGATGTGGGGATTTGGAGGGGAGTGTACTGGGGGTGGGGAATCGGGAATGGAGGGGGAGAGAATGGAAATTTTGGGGGAAGAGGATGGAAATGGGGGAGCATGGATTGGATGGGGGAAATGGGATGTGGGGATTTTGGGGGGGAGCAGAACCGGGATGGGGAATCAGGAATGGGAGAGAACCAGGCCGGGAGAGCTAAAATTAAGGAAAACCAAACCAGGAAATACGGGATGGGTGTAAACAAGGAAATCGAGGCACCACAAGTTGGGTGGGAAAACTGGCATGGGGAAAACCTGGATGGGGAAAACCGGGATGGAGGGGGAGCATACGGAGAGACTGGGCTGGCAGAGGGCAGGGGGGGCCCGGGGGGTTCGGGGGTCTCTCCCCGCGTTACCTGCCCGTTTTTCATGAGGTCTGCCCACATGCTGGTGCCGTCCCCGCCGCGCATGAGGACGTGGTAGGTGAAGAAGTAGATGCCGGGCAGGGGGCACGTGAACTTGCCGCTGGAGGGCTCGTAGTAGTTGCCCACGTTGGTCACCACGTCGTCGAACCGCAGCACCTCGTAGCCCTCGTGGGGCTTCCGCAGCCCCGCGTAGAAGGCGATTTTGGGGCTGTAGAAGGACGGGATGTACCCCCCGGGTCCCGGCCCCGGGGGTCCCGGCGGGCCCGGCCGGCCCGGCTCGCCCGGAGGTCCCCGCGGGCCGGGGGGACCGGGAGGTCCCCGCGCTCCGGCGCGGCCCCGGCGGCCCGGGGGGGGCTGCGGGGAGGCCGGGGGGGGCGGCTCGGGGTAGGGGTCGCAGACCATGCGGCAGCTCCCCAGCATCTCGTAGTGCGCGGCCGCCTTGGAGCTGTGCACGAGCAGCGGGATGGCCACCAACAGCACCAGCACCATCGCCACGCCCGCGGCCACCCCGGCCACCCGCCGCCGCCGCCGCAGCCGGGACGCGGCCACGGCCAGCAGGTCCTGCTCGCCCTTGGGGGCGATGGTGGCGATAGCGGGGGGCGCGCAGGGGACGCCCCCGGGGCAATCAGGGCACGGGGAGGGCGGGGGAAGAGGGGATGGGAGTGGGATTGGGGATAGAGGCAGGGATGGGGACAGGGATGGGGACAGGGATGGGGATGGTGGCGGGGTTGGGAGAGGAGATGAGAGTAGGAACAGCAGCAGGGATGGGGACGAGGATGGGGATGGTGGTGGGGTTGGGAGAGGGGATGGGAGAGGGGATGGGAGTAGGAACAGCAGCAGGAATGGGGACAGGGATGGAGACAGAAACGGGCCTGGAGATGGGGCTGGGGACAGGGCTGGGGACAGGGCTGGGGACAAGGATAGGGATGGGGATGGTGGCAGAGTTGGGAGAGGGGATGGGAGTGGGAACAACAGCAGGGATGGGGTAAGGGATGGGGACAGATACGGGGCTGGAAATGGGGAGAGGAATGGGGATGGGGACAGAAACGGGGCTCAGATGGGGCTGGAGAAGGGAACAAGGATATGGATAGGGATGGGGATGGGGATGGGGACAGCAGCCGAGGCCGGGGCTGGAGCTGCGGGTGGAGGTAGGAATGGGACTAAGGGCAGGGATGGGGCCGAGGATGGGATCAGGAGCGGGGATGAGACCGAGAGCTGAGATGGGGCCGAGGACGGATCGGGAGAGGGATTGGACTAGGAATGGGGCTGGGGACGGGGCCGGGAGCGGAGCTGCGGGGGAAGCCGGAGATGGGACCGGGAGCGGGGCTGTGGCTGTTCCCGAAGCTGGGACCGGGAGCGGGGCCGGAGCTGCGGGTGGAGCCGGAACCGGCGCTGCTGAAGGGAATGAAGCCGGAGCCGACGATGGTACCGGAGCGGAGCCGGGAGCGGAGAGTGGAGCTTCTGCAGCAGCAGCCGGGACCGGAGCCGGTGTTGGAGCTGGTGATGTAACCGGAGCCGGGATGGAGCTGGGAAGGACCCGGGAGCGGAGCCGGGAACGAGCCGGGATGGAGCCGGGATGGAGCCGGGAAGGACCCGCGACCGAAGCCAGGATGGAACCGAAATAGAGCCGGGGAGGATTCGCCACGGCGCGCGGGGCAACTTCTCCCCAAGTTGTCCGTGAGAGGGACCCCCGGGAGCGGGACCCCTGGGAATGAGACCCTCGCGAATGAGACCCCCGGGAGCGGGACCCCGGGAGCGGGACCCCCTTGCCCCGGGAGCGGCTGGGCAGCACCACCCGGGCCGGTTCTCTGGGACCCCCCCGTGCCCCTCTTGGGGGACCCGCGGCCCCGGGCCCTCGGTGGAACACCACCCCCCCACACCAATCCCCCCCTCTCCGGTACCTGCCGCCGGTGCCGCCGCCCGCACCGCACCCGCCCCGCACGGCCCCGCTCCGCCCGCCCCGCTCGACGGCTCCGGGCACGGCGGGGGCGGGGAGGCGGCCAGGGGCGGGGGGGACCCGCAGGAGGGTGAGTGTGCAAGGGGGGGGGGTGAGTGTGCACAGTCCTGGGCGGGGGAGAGCGGGGAAGGGGGGATGCGGGGGGGGCACAGGGGGAACAGACCCCCCCCATGCACAGGGACCCTCCCCCGGTGGGGGTCAGCCCCACGCAGGCGGCCGCGGGGCAGTTTTTGGAGTCCCTTTGGGGTCCAAACGCGTGGGGAGCTCCGTGTCGGGGTGGGGGGCTCACGGGCCCTCCCCAGCACCGTCCTGGGGGCCTCAGCCCCCCCCGCCACCAAGGGGCCCCCAGAGGGGACAGACTGGGGAGGTGGGATGGAGGGGTGGGATGGGGGGGTTGAATGGTGGGTCCCCTGCATGAAGCCGGGGGGAGGCTGGGTCCGGGGGGGTGCCCATGTGTGTCTGTGCGGTGTCACAGTGGGACCCCCATGGACAGAAGCTGGGGGGGCGCAGAGGTGTGTGCACAGGTGTGTGTGTGGGTGTGCTCTGTGGGGGCCGTGCTCAGTTCACGTGTGTGCTCTGTGTGTGCTCTGTGTGTGCTCTGTGTGTGTGTGCTCTGTGTGTACTCTGTGTGTGTGCTCTGTGCGTGTGTGTGTTGTGCTCTGTGTGTGCTCTGTGCGTGTGCTCTGTGTGTGTGTGCTCTGTGTGTGTGTGCTCTGTGCGTGTGCTCTGTGTGTGCTCTGTGCGTGTGCTCTGTGTGTGTGTGCTCTGTGTGTGTGTGCTCTGTGTGTGCTCTGTGTGTGCTCTGTGTGTGCGCTCTGTGCATGTGTGTGTGCTCTGTGTGTGCTCTGTGTGTGTGTGCTCTGTGTGTGTGCTCTGTGTGTGCTCTGTGTGTGTGTGTGCTTCTGGGGTGTGTGTGGGTGGCCCTGTGGTGGTGCTCTAGTGTGTGGTGTGCTCTTGTGTGTTGCTCTTGGTGGTGTGTGTGTGTGCGCTGTGTGTGCTCTGTGTGTGTGGTGTGTGCTCTGTGTGTGTGTGCTCTGTGTTGTGTGTGTGTGCTCTGTGTGTGCTCTGTGTGTGTATGTGTGTGCTCTGTGCTGTGTGTGTGTGCATCTGTGTGTGCTCTGTGTGTGCTCTGTGTGTGTATGTGGTGGTGCTCTGTGTGTGCTGTGCTGTGTGTGCTCTGTGTGTGTGCGCTGTGTGTGTGTGTGCTCTGTGTGTGTATGTGTGTGCTCTGTGTGTGTGTGCTCTGTGTGTGTATGTGTGTGCTCTGTGTGTGTGTGCTCTGTGTGTGTGTGTGTGTGCTCTGTGTGTGTGTGCTCTGTGTGTGTGTGCTCTGTGTGTGTGTGTGTGTGCTCTGTGTGTGTGTGCTCTGTGTGTGTGTGTGCTCTGTGTGTGTGTGTGCTCTGTGTGTGCTCTGTGTGTGCTCTGTGTGTGTGAGCACAGGGGTGTTGCTCCATGGGTATATGGGGATGCTGGATGTGCGTGCACAGGTGTGGGGGGGTGTGTGCTCTGTGTGTGTTCATGCTCATTGCATGTGTGAGTGTGAGCCTGCTGTGTTTGTGTGTGCATGTGTGTGCTCTGTCCGTGTGTTCCGTGTGTCCATTCCCTCTATATCCATTCCATCAGTGTTTGTGTCCATCCCATGGCCATGTGTCCATCCCAAATCTCTGTGTCCATCCAATGTGTGTCTGTGTCCATTCCGTGTGTCCATCCCATATGTCTGTGTGTCCATCCCATGTGTCTGTATCCATCCCACACCCCTCTGTCCATCCCATATGTCTGTGTGCCCATCCCACATCCCTGTGTCCATCCCACATCCCTGCGTGTTTATGTCCATCCCATGTATCTGTGTGCCCATCCCGCATCCTTGTGTCCATCCCATGTGTCTGTGTGCCCATCCCGCATCCTTGTGTCCATCCCATACCCTTGTGTCCATCCCATGTGTCTGTGTGTCCATCCCACATCCCTGTGTCCGTCCCACATCCATCCCCAGCACATCCGTGTCCATCCCCACTCAGGGGTCACACGGGTGGGCTCCGCTCCCCCCGCCCACCCTCCCGTGGGTGATTTATCGGGTCCGTTCTCCCTCTCCCGGCGCTTCCAAAGGTCTCGGATCCCTCCGATCCCCGCGATCCATCATCGGCCGCGGATCGGCCGCGGATTTACGGCCGCGCTGCCCGCGATCGATGCGGCCCCGACACCGCCGTGTTTGTGCAACAAATTACGGCGCCGGGGGCCAGAGGGGAGGGTCTGGGGGCGTCGATGCCATCCCGTGTGTCCCCCCCGCCCCGGGGACACGGCGGAGCCCCGACCCCCGCGCGGGCTGAGCTTAATGAGCAGCAACAGCGAATTAATTAAGACGGCGGCGAGGGGAAGCCCGGGCGCTAATTAGCAGGGCTGGGAGGTGACGAGGACACGAGAGGACATTGGGGGTCCCCGGGGGTCCTGGCGGGGGAGGCGAGGCTGGGGGGCAGCGGCGAGAGCGGGGGAGGTGGAGGGGTGGGGGGTTCACGGCCAAATCCTGCCTAAATCCCCCCCTGGGCTGAACCTGGAGCTGGTTACACTGGGTTTGGGGGGGGCTCAGTCACGATCAGATCCTGCCTGAATCCCTCCTGGGCTGAGTCTGCAGCTGGTAAAACTAGGCTTGGGGGGCTCAGCCCCACCTTTGGGGTCCCTCATATCTCTGCCTCAGTTTCCCCATCCTGCTGAGCCCAAACAGGGCCCAGGACCCGCCCCGAACCCCCCCCCGGATGAGGACACGGACCCAGGCCCCCCCAGGCTGCGGGGGGCTGAGCCGGGGAGGCTGAGCGGGGGGGGGCCGGCGGGGCCGGATTTGGCCGCAGCACATGAATAAATTCATGACACCACGTCCCCGTGTCCCCGCCGGCCCCCCCCGTCCCCCCCCCCCACCGCTCTGACACAACCCCACGGTCACCAGCTGCCTCCGCGGCCCCCCAGGACCCCCCGGCTCGGGGGGGGCACGTCCAGTGCCGCCCAGTACACGGTGCTGAAGCGTCCCCAGTGCCCGGGGATGTCACCCCGCTGTCCCCGGGGGGGGCGGGTCGAGGGGACCCCTGTGCGAATGGATATGGATGGGATGGGGGCGGCCACGGGGGGGGCCCGGGGCGGGTCGGGGACAAACGGCCCGAATTGGAGGAAAATTGTCCTTGAGGCCACAATGAACCAGCGGCGGGAACACACACACACACGGGGGGGTGGTCCTGGGGCTGTGGCGGGGCTGGGGGGGCGAGTCACAGCGCTGGGGAGTCCCCGCTGTCACCCGCACCCCTGTGTGCCCCCCCAGCCCTCACTTCAGCCCCCTTCCCTGCCCTGGCACCCCGCGGGCACCCCCAGCCCTCACCACCCCCCCTAACCGCCAATGCCCCCCACCTCCACCCCAGTTCATTAGTGACTGCTGTTTATTAGGGCTGGGGGGGGTCAGGGTGCTGTGCCAGGCCCCCCCCGGGCAGTGAAGGGCTCGGGGATGGGATGGGGTGGGGTGGGGGTCCCACCCTGGAGCAGCTGCATTGCCCCAGGGCTGAGCGGTGCTGGGGGGGTGTCTTATCTGCACCCCAAACTCCCCGTGTGCCCCCCCAGGATGGTGCTGAGCCCCCGCCCCACAGCGGTGCTGGCGGGTCTCATCCACACCCCGAGCTCCCCCTGTGCCCCCCGGGATGGTGCCGAGTCCCCGCCCCACCACGACCCCCCCAATTT